TGAAAATATCTTTCGAGGGATGAAAATAGCCTATTGAACATGTTTACCTGTGTTGGTGATGACTGAATTTTGGTTAAAATGTTTGCTCGTTGAGACTTGTGATTTGTTTGTTGCCGTTGGTTGGATCATTGGTTGTACGGTTTATTGTAGTATGGTTTTCCATAAAAAAGGCCTCTGTGAACTTTGCCTCACTGGTTGTTGTTGGGAGGAGTAGGCCCGTTTCATTGTGTGTTGAGATCTGCCGCCGCCGGCTGTGTTTTTTATTTTATTTGATGCCTGGATATGGTTAAGCTCTGTTTGCAATTCATCCTTGAACAGAAACTTCGTTACAGGCACATGTGAGGCCCATAACAAGGCATACTCTTCATTAAGAGTTGGTCAAATGATGTCTCGTCGTTTTTGGGCCAAAGCATAGCTGATATGGCCCATCATCACAATGGCATCCATATTCATTCAAATGATGCTTTCCATATCCGGTTTGTTGTTTTCAGCATGGGTGTTAAGCAACACGTTGTTCGCGAGACGATGCTGCCAACTGCCACTAAGTCATTCTGCAAGTAGGAACGCTTTAAATTCTTTCCTTGTGTTTCTTTGTCTAGGCGTCCCCAAATTTCAGGGTTCATCTTCCGGGTAATGAGGTTCTAGCAGTTGATTGGGCGTAAATGAGTTTTTCACGTAGGGTTTCCTCACTCATCTTGTTTAGCCATCGGGTGTCGATAATCCTTAGCTAGCTGCTCAGAGATTTTTAGAGATGTCTTCTCTCCTTCGTTCATGGCCTGGGCGATTTCATCTAGAAGAAGATCTTCTTCAGTATTTTCATTGTGCATAGCAGGGTCATCGCCATCGTCGGCCATTTTATTGTCATTGTTAACGACTTTTTGCCGTTTTGGCTGCTGCTTGTGAAGCAGTTTGTCTGCATCTGATTGTGCGACATTTTTTTGCCACTTGAAGTTTCAAGGGCAGACATGGCCCGTTTTCGAGCAGGTTCTGCCATAGGCATATTGTACTGAAATTGTTTTAAGAACTGTGTTACAGCCAGCATGTTTGTGTTTAACAGCGCAAGACTCGCCATAAGCTCGTTGTTTTCATGTGAAGACACTTGCTCTGGCACTTCTTCATCTGACAGCGCAATTTCATCTATATCTTCACCTTCGGCCATCGCAACAGCAACGTAAAACGGTATAATTCGTCGAATAAACTACAGACTTTTTAGAACTGAACACTCTAGGACGAAACACTCAAAACTGAATACTCTGATTCGCGCGCTCTATCTCACGTGACTTCTCCTGAACTGACCAATAACGAGGTAGAATTATACCCAGCAATATTTGTATTGCCAATAGGCTCCTTACTCAAGGTAAACTTAATTTCACTGAGACCAAGATCAGATAGTAAGGATGACAAAGCATCAAAATTTGCTGATAGACTTCTAATATTAAATAAATGTAAGACAGAAAAGGATTTAGACTTGGAAGTTAGTTTATGTATATCTTGACTATTTTTAAATTGATCAATTGAATAATAGTCACAATTTACATG